AACGTTGGCGATAATCTGGTCCGTTAGGCATCCTAATCTTGGCAGATTTTTTCCTAACAATATCAGTCATTGCTGTGTTTTTATTATGCTCATGAGTCTTGAATAAACGAGATAAAATCAAGACGCTGAATTGTTTTACGACCGAGTATGAAAACGCACCCGGAATTCTTTACCAGTAATCTCATATCCGAGGAGACATTATTCTTCCAGTTGAACAAATCTTGCAATATGCCACCAGTAGGCTCGACTTTGCAACTGTTCCACGTTGTCAGTTGTGCGCTGATTGGCAAAGTCAAAAGTACAGAATGATTTATGTTTACCCCCCATGCTGGTACATCATCTCTACGGATCCGAACAGGATTGCACCAACTTTGCTGTATGTGGGTGACCTCATAACGTTTTTTTTTGGTGAACGCCACGCTTTTTTTATCAGAGCTCAGTATAAGCCAAACATACTTGACCCCCCGAAGGGATTTGTTCGTTTGCAGTTGTCTCACGTTTCATCCCGTGCTGAACAGCTAACTCGTTCACAGAAGAGGTTGATTGTCATCCCTTTTTGGACGGACAAGTTGATCAATCTATTCGGTTCTAGAGAATCAAAGAATGCTTCCTCATTCTGGTACGTCCGTGCAGTGCTGAAAAGTCAGCTTGAGGATATTCCTGTCTGATAACTGGACTGTAATCAATCAGAGCTTCATTCCGGTAAGAGTTTCTGGAATCTTCATACTAGATTCGTCCAACCAATTCTGTCTCGCCCGTGATCAAATACGTCGGCAGCTAAATTCACAGGCTATATCAAAAGTTTTCGGGGGCGTAAATATACATTTTAGGTGAGGTCAATGGATCACGTGGAGATGTTCTGTTCAGTTCTTACTACCAATAACCATGTGCACTTTCGTGCGTCATTTCAGTTGCTGTCTTTTGGTTGCCCAGTTGGATAAAACAACAGAATGTTGAGTGCAGATCTAAGCGAAAGGTAGCACATTTTCATAGACTGAAGTTACAAGAATAATGAGTAAATGCATGAGCGCCATTGTTTGCGACAACTAGCCATATCGCTCAGTGTCTTTAACCATCTGTGACCATGATCTCAGGGTCCCCAATTAGGGAGCCTAACGGGACCTATGTGAGTCAGTCTCCTGGTCAGGGTTTCAATACCCTCATGCCAGGTCTTAGTTTGATCGCCCTTGGCTTCTTTTCAACCGCTACCTGTCTGGCCAGGCATTGCTCGCCTTGGCAACCTATCTGGTGACATGCGTAGCACATGTCCCAACCAGCGTAATCTATGGAGGTCGACTACCTGTTCCAGTGGACCACCGCGATTACCTAAAAGTCTACGCCTAACCTCAGCATTGCTCTTCCGATTTGTATTCGCGCCGACACTTGATCTGTGATGCGTCCACCAGGTGAGATATAGCTGCCCAGATAGCAAAACATATCCACTTGCTTTAAAACTTCCCCGGTCAGAGTGAGGTTGGGGACTGGAGACGAGGCATAAACAAATGCACAGAGCCATTAGGTAGAGTAAATGTCACACGCCTTCCAGGTTGGGTTCCGAAAGACTCCACAACCGGTTGGTTAGAAACATTGAAAGATATGGCAGCAAACCGACAGCAGTGGCGTTCTTGTTGTCATTTCTCATGAAGCTAGAATACTTTAAACGGTATGCATGCACACTTGGATTGTATACTCTGTGTTGGCCATAGAGATTAACTTTCTTTGCTTTCCTCCAATCAGGCTCAATCCCTATCCATCTTGTACTTTATCACTTGATTTGTGTGCATTGTGAGCTTGGCCACAATCAGTGGGTTTCGCCTCGGTATATCACTGTGCGATGATGATGATGATTAAATGACATGAATCTTTGCAAGAATCAATCCATGTTTGGTTCGTTTTGTAAACCTCTGCCAGATTGTCTAAACGAATGTTTTTGGCTAGTCCGAATTCGACCACACGTTAGCGGAACAATAAAGCACCCGAAAAGTGTCAACCGTGTTAGTTTGGATTATAAGCGTCGCGTCATAACCGTATATTATATATATATATATATATATTATCGAATATAATGTTTTAATTTAAATACCTGCCCATCTCCATCATTCTCTCCCTTTCTTCCGTTGGCGGATACGCACTGTTTTCATTTGTAGCTTCTGTGGCCATTGTGAAAAGTCGTGATATGCATTGGGCCATGCTGGCTGAACGGGATCACCCGAATGTGAACCTGTCCTCCCTCAGAATGCTTCTCGTGGCCGACGGTTCGAATCCTTGTACGTTCTCGTTGGTATGTGTGCTTCCGGTGTGAGCACACAACTTGTGTTTTTTTTGTTTCTTGATCATTGTCGCCGTCGTGGCGTCTAATTTCCTATTTTTACTCGTGGTATTTCAAATTTAACTCTCTGTCATTCGTTAGGACGAGAGATATACAAAGCTGACTCCCTGGTCATCATTACCGTCCAAGTCGAATTTCGTTCTGATTTTGATAACTAAAATGGTTCGCGTTATTTAGTTGGTTGTTCCAGACAATCTATGACCTGTGTTAACGTTTATTTCAACAACAGCCACCTTGGGATATGTGGTTGGTTCTCTCTCGTTAAAAGCCGTCTTGTTTCGTTTCCCGGTCATTTTATTTTCAGGGTCATTGAATTCGTGTGATTCATTTGTCCAAAAGTTTCGTTCCCGCGGTTTTTTGGCCGAGGCTGTTTGTCCGTCCGCGGGCAGTCCGGAAACGATGACTGTTTGTTTGCGACGGCCGGCCCATCCCACGCTGCACGCCACTCTGAACGGGAAAGTTTATCCGAACGGTGGTACATCTCATACGGCTGGTACCACACCTGGCACGCAAACGGCCGTTTCCAGTGCTGTCCGAGGTGTGATTTCGATTCACAGTCTGACCTATGGTGTCGTTCGAGTCGATTCCGAGGATTCATTGACTTCGCTCACTCTTCAGGATTGCGGACAAGTGCTACCTGGTGGTATGTTCGATTTCAATTTTTGATTTGAGATCGAATTTCTTTCTGTGCTCAGGTATTATTCCATCGCTTCTCCACCACTCGATATGCTTTTTTTGCATGACTTTCTTTGGTTGCATATTTGGGGATTTGTAATTCAAAGTAAATCACATTGCAGTTTACATCTGCGTACGACTTGATACTGAGCTGCTCTTCTGGGAAAAAATGAAGATCGCCTACTCCAAGTCGGCAGTTGACTGTATTTTAGGAAAGTATGTGCTTCCATACCTTTTCAACTTCAAGTGAATCTCACCAATCGCATTCAACTGGAAAATCCGGAAATTGGTTGATGCTTCGGCCATCAAACGTCACCGATTGAATCGGATCTGTCTTAGACCTCGTACAGTTCGAATAACCTGATTTATCCATAAATAAACAGAAGTACTATGTTGACGGAGTGAGTTTCCAAGCGAGGTTGAAATTCTCGGCGGTCTGGGCTTCGACTGTTCGCCACTACAACCCCTCCCCCAGTCAACGTGGAAATCTCATATCCTTGACCGTTGATGGATTGAGTTAGTTGTAGGAGGGAATGAACAAATCCGGTCTGTCGGGTAAGAAAGCGAATCACGTCTTAATGGATCGATAAATCGGTCACCATGCTTCGGCGTGATTGTTAGAAGGAAAAATTGCATACGTGAGTTCAGTCTAGGTCTCTTATTAGTCTGGTGAGTACAATTCCATTGAATCAAATTTTCTCTCGAATCAAATTGATTCTTTTGAGCCGGACATCTCCACTGACACGAAGAATCTGATAGAAATAAGTTGGATCACCACAAAACGAAACTCCGAAATCCACATGCCAAAATCATGCCCGATGATCTAGAAGGACGAATGAGCCAATCGAACTGGGGCATGGCCTGTTCGGAAAGCATTGCTGATGATGCCAAGTCTCAAATCACGGTCAGTATACATCTAACGATGTTCGTGCACATTATCAGTCGGCCATGAAAAAGCTTGATTTTTAATGCAACTGATGGTTCTTTGTTCTTCTTGGACGCCTATGTGCCTGGGCAAAACGTTCTGACATGGTTACAATCGATATGCTGGGTAATTGACAAATTTTTGTAGAATTTTGTAGAGCACATAAAATTACAGTAGGCTGGTTTTCCACTTTATACTTGTAGATAATTACTTACAAAACAACCTTTCGGGAGTCAGGGTTTTCAAGGGTAAGTGGTGATTAAAGGCAAATCAAGACGTGCAGCCAACCAATCGATCATGTAAAATCAGCAGACTAGAGGACACAGTTCGACTCGTTGCTTTTCCTTGAGTTGCAAATGATGCAAACTATCAACCATTAGGATCCATTCCAGTTTAGTCAAAATACTCACACCAACAGTTGGATTTATTTTCATCGCGGACGATGAAGGAGTATTCTTTGAATTGCTTGGCGAAATATTCGAAGAGAAAAGCTTATTGCAGTAATCACTCCATCGGCTTTCTATCAAACGAGCACTGAATATGATGACATGGTCAGATCAGTTATGCTTACTTTAATTGTAAACCACTAGGTATCAGAACGTTTGCCTTGTGTGCTCAATGCAATGGTTAGTCCGGGGTTCGCTGTAGGAGATCTAGATCTAATAAATGGATAGTTTTAATCATTTCTTTTTCTTGCTCTATCATATTCCACAGTCGTCGGGGTTCAGGTTTTGTTAATTTTTGTGCCTTTCAATGCTAAAGATTAGGCAAATACTTTCGACCCCAAAAATTGTAACTTAGCCTCTATGGAATTCCAAGCCTTGGCGTCGACCCGGGGTAAAGGTTGAATCAACCCATTGAGCAGATTATGACCACGTTCACACTTGATTGTAGCTAACGCATTGTTGATCCACACTTCTCTATACGATCAATCGAGATCAACCATTGTCAGATTAGTTTACTCCCATAGGTTACTCTTGTCTCCGTAAACGAAGTTGATGAATGTGCTACATTTTCCTATCCTGTGCTTCAGTGTGCTTAATAATATAAAGGATGTACCCCCGAAATCACAAAAACCTACTTTTGATTGTAAAGATCCAACTGTTTATCCTCAATATCGCCGGAAGCGTCTCAACTGATATTTCTTCTGATATCTTGATCTTGTTTCTGTCACCAGTCTGATTCCTCGGGCTTAGTGATCGATGCTCACTTGCTGATCGTTAGTTGTTATTTAGGGGAACATCCTTTTATGGCACAGTTCTTCTCGTGTCTTCCTTTTAGATAGTACAATCTTCTGAGACATCCGGTCCTTCATTGAGCGTCATCTTTAATTTCAGCCATGAGATAAATGTCCCGCCCTTCCGTGTTTATGATCACCTCTTCCTCCTCTCGTTCAATGATCAGGATACACCAGTCACCAATCAATCCGATAGATGAGAACTCGTGGATAATTATTAAAGCACAACTTTGTGCCACATGATTTATTTGTTCGCCTTAGGAAACAGGAAGTTCAGCACGTTTTTGCAACCTGTCAAATTCCAAACACGCATGCATGAGCGAATGTTCGTTTGGATGCAGTCTGTATGTAGCCTCGTAAAAATCGTTTTTGTGATTTGCATAGATTTCACACGTGTACACTGTCACCTGCACTTGGAAAATGAGGTCAAATCGCAATGTTAGGCTGTGATTTTTCCATGTCCACTATGTGTTACGACTGTGATTGTGGAGATTGTGAATAATTTTAATATGCCCATCATACAAGCAGGTTACTTGAATTGTGTCGGCTATTTTTGATGCACTAATAAATATTAGCATCAATATAAGTGTCTCAACTCTGGAATAGTCCATTCGATTGTTCACAGGTACCAGGCCCCCTTGATGATGTTCGATGTGGGCGATTGTTGAGTTTTTACTAGTTGAACGCATTTATAAGCGATTGACAGATTTGTAATAACCGACAAACAGCACTGGAAACAGCTTTGTATCGTCTTGTATGGGACTGGTCCACAGTGCATACTTTTCGTGTCTGTTAGCACTCGATCCGAGTCGGGATTTCAAACTCTTACCCCCCCTCTGAGCTGAACAGTCATCACCTCATACGAATGGTTGAAGCAATTAAGAGCATATTCTAACGAAATTGTTTCCATCGAACACACACACTGAGTGAAAATTGCACTACATGTAATTTTTCAGAACAGACACCTTGACTCCTTGAACCGAGATGTGTAATGTCCGGAAACAACGCGTCAAACAAACACACAGTTTAAATCTCTAGCCCACGAGCGGAATTTCGGCAAAGTCACCCGTTGCCAGGTCGTGAATGGTCAAAGTCACAACACAATTGGTACCCACCCATCCATCTCCACCCCCGCTAGATTTTGTTCCCTATTCTTGGTGTATGCACCTAGGCGAAAACACACTCAGTTCTCAGTTGAGGCTAGTTCCACGTTATAGTCAATGTGCGTCCTTGTTCAGACTATTTCCCACTCGCGGCCATTTTTTTTTCAAAACACTGATATCACACAAGAGCACAGTCTAACTAACAGTTCGAAGGTGTCTTTATGCCAGTCAGTAAATAAACTGGCACCATGACTAAAGAAAAAAATAACCCTGAGCAAATGATAAATATAGTCACTGGGTTATTTATTTTCCTCACCTGCTTCACAAGTGTTTGAGTTCAAACTGATTACCAAACACGTTCTGTGCCACATCACTAACTGAGGGAATTGGTTCAGTTCACAATGTCAGAATTAGTTTCTCTCTCTCGCTCAAGAAGGGGGG